CGCCTTTGAGCCCCCCTGAGGACGGAGAGGGATCTCCTGCTCCTCATGAGGGGCTCAGCCCACACGGGGGCACCGTACATCGCCATCGATGACAGGACGTTGGCGTAGAGCCTACGCGTCCTCCCACCCGGCCCGCCCAGATTGGGCATTATGCGCGACAGCGCGCCGCCCGCGCCGTCCAATCTGGGCGCCAGTCTCCGGAAGTGCTCCTCGAAGCCCCAGGTCCTATCGATGTGGAGGCCCAGATATTTTATCTGGGCCCCCACCAGAATGCGCTCGCCGTCTACGGTGATCCTGGCTTCAGGTGGCGGCCCGGCCGAGCCGTCATGAAAAAAGACGGCTTCGGTCTTCTTGGCCGCCACCTTTAACCCTAACGCCTTGATCGCCCTAATGGCGCAGGCCACCGCCAGGTTGCCCCTGGCGATGGCTTCCCCCCATCCCTCCCCGCTGGCCAGCACAAGCGTGTCATCCGCGTAACACACGCATGTGCAGCCAGCGGGGAGCGCCGCACGCAACACCCCGTCGTACGCGACATCCCACAGGAGTGGTCCTAGGACCGACCCCTGCGGGACGCCGCGATCCGCCCTCCACACACGGGAGTCTCCCTCTTTGTCCACGCACACAATGGACCGGTCTTGGAGATAGTCCCCAATTATCCCACGCAGATAATCGGGGACCTCCAATTTCTCCAGACCGGCCACAATCTCTCGATGGGGGATGGAGTTAAAGGCGTTCGCCACATCAAGGGCGACAGCCAACACCACCCCTCCATCCCCCATCATCGCGTCCACAGTCTCGCGCACGTGGACTATGGCGTCCACCGTGGAGCGCCCCTCCCTGAAGCCGAACTGCCTCTCGGACAGGCCGGGCCCTGCATACTCGATGTGCCTCGCTAATCGGGCCGCGATCACTCTCTCGAGAAGTTTCCCGGCCTCGTCCAAGAGGCAGATCGGCCTGAAGCTCCCGGGCTCGTCCGGGGGCTTTCCCTCTTTGGGGAGGAGCACCAGCCTCGCCTTCTTCCACAGCCCCGGGAAGATGCCCTCCTCCAGACACCGGGTATACAACCCCTCCAGTCTGTCGGAGAGCTCCCCCAGGGCTGCCTTCAAAATTATGCCGGGGACCCCGTCCGGACCCGGCGCTTTGCCCTTCTTGAGCTTCTTAGCCGCTCGCGCCAGCTCCGTCCGGGTAATCCCCAGCTCCTCCTGCCAAGGCTGATGCTCCTCCCCGTGTTCCGCATCCCGTGGAGGAGGACCGCCATCGTCCCCCGCTGGGAATAGGGCTTCCACCACCTCTTGGAGAAAGCGTGGGTCCAGACTCTCCACCGTCGGAGGCGCCCCCGAACTCAACTTGTTCATTACAAGTTTATAGGGGCGCCCCCAAGGGTCCTCGTTAAGGGAGCTTACCAGCTCCTCCCACGCCTTCTCCTTGGCGGTCCTGATTGCCGCCCGCAAAGCCTTCCTTCTTTGGCGGTACTCCTCCACGAGCCTCTCCTCCTCCGCAGGTGGAGTTCCCCTCCTCCTTCTGGCCCGCAGGACGGCTCTCCTGGCGGCCACCGAGGATTTCCTCAGGGCGTCTATCTCTTCCGACCACCAGTAGGCCGCCCTGCGGGCGACGAACCTGGCGCGCGGCATAGCGGCGTCGCACGCACGCGTCAGCACCTGCTGCACCCACCTAGCCTCCTCTTCCACTGTGGGCGCAGGGACCGGCTGCGCCCACAGTGCCGCGATTAGGGACTCCTTAAATTTGTCCGGGTCCAGCTTGTCTGTCCTCCACCTAGCCATTCGCACTTGCGGTCCCGTCCTCCTCTCCCATGCGAACTCTATGTGGATGGGAAGGTGGTCGGAAAGCAACTCAAGGCCAACCAACACCCCCCATCCACTTATCCTCCTCGCGGCCACAGGGGAAGTCCACGTCAAATCGACGATTGACTCCCCCTGCGGCCTTACGCAGGTGCTGACGTTCCCTACGTTTTCTAAGTGGAGGCCTAGGCGCGCGGCCCAGGCCTCCACGTCTGCCCCCTTGGCGTCCGGCCGCCGGGAACCCCAAAGTGCCGATTTGGCATTGAAGTCCCCGGCGACCAGAATCGGTCCGGGGAGATACTCCCGGACCAAGTCCTCCAGTTCCTCGAGTCTCGCGTCCGCTTCGGCACGGGTAAGGCTGGGCCTCAGGTAGACCCCGATTACAAACAGGGGCCCCCATTTGGCCGCCACCCAGCCCTCCCCGGCCTTGAGTTTCGAGAAGGGGGGAGCCCGCTCCCCCGTTCTCCTCCAGACGATCGCCGCCGAGCCGTCCGTGCTCCCCGCCCAACAGGGGCTCTTAGGAACACGGTACGGCTCGGCGACGATGCCAAGTCCGCAACCACGCTCTGCCAGGCTGTGGAGGAACAGATCCTGAGCCTGGCGGGCGTGGTTGAGATTCGCCTGAAGCGCCACTAACGCCGTGAAGGCGACGCCTTCCCAGCCTCCTCCTGGCTGTTGCTCTCATTCGGGTGCGTCCCTTGCGCCGCCGGCTCGGTCTCCATGGGCTCTTCTTGCTGCCTAGACTGGCCTGCTGTCTGCCCCTTTTCCCGGCCTTCCTCTCTACTCTTTCTGGCTGCCCTCTTCCTCTCGTTTTTGCTCGGGAGTCGGCACGCCGCCCCTCCAGCCTTGTGGTTGGAGGGCAGTCCTCTCCCTTTGCATACTGCGCAGTCAGGGGTTTCGGTACATCCCTGCGCCTTATGCCCTTCTTTGCCGCACCGGTAGCAAAGCATGCTCCTGTCGGTGCTGCTCCTGCATTGCGCTCTAATGTGCCCCCTCTCCAGGCACCTGAAGCACACTAACGGGCGGGGGTCGAGCAGTTCCACCCTGCACGACACCCAGCCCAGCCTTATCCTTCTCGCCTCAGCTGTTCTCCTCGCCACCTCGAGTCCACACTGTATCCAGCATGTACCCATTCCGCCAGGGGTCCGCCGGATGGGGCCCACCTTTACATCGTCCGGGAGCCCACCACCAGCCTTCGTCACCGCGGCCCGAATTTCTTCTTCCGAGACGGATTCGTCTAGGTCTTTAAGCCTGATCTCCGCCCTTTTTTCGGGGCGGGTGACCTTAACGCCCTTGCCCTCCCCAACTGTTTTTATTGTGGTGGCAAGCGCGTCTGCCTTGACCTTAGCTTCGGCACCTCCAGATATCTCGAGCAGGGTAGCTCCGTTCAAGGCTTTCCTGCTCTTGACCTTGTCTATTCCCAGGTCCTCCAGCTTGATCTGGGACCTTAGGAATCTCATTCCCTCAGCCGCCTGACCTTCCGGGAATGAGATCGCCACTGCAGCGGTTTTGGGCGACCTCCTCTTCGGCTGCTCCTTCTGCCCCTTCTTCTCGGCTCCGTTGATGGTCGCCGTAGTCGCAGGCTTCCCGGATTTCGCCACCGGATTTTGCTCCTTGCTTTCCTGCTTCTTCCTCCCCTTTCTCACCACCTCCGCCCAGGAGGTGGTTGGCTTGGCTAGAGCCGGGGCCCTCTTATCCTCCTTGGAGGGCTTCTTTTCCTCCTTCGGCTTGGTCTCCTTGCTGTTTCGGACGATCCGCGCCGCCGTCTCTCTCGCCCTCAGCCTCACCTTATCCTTAACTTCCTCTACGCTGGTGACGACTGGGAGTCTCTTCCCCCTCTCCTCCTTTCCTTTCGAGATTCGGCTCAGCGCTCCCTGGCACCTGGTAATTAAATTTTCCAGGTTGCGCTTCACCTTGTCTGAGTCCCCACAGACCACCTCCTTTATGGAGACTCCTTCCATAACTCGCCTGATGCCCTCCATGGCGTCTTCTTCAGGCGGATCCTCCAGCACTTTGCGCTGTCCCCTCAACATTGGTCGATGGACAGTACCTTCGGACCTCTCCGCTGTCACCAGCCTTTCCCTCTTAGCGGCCTCCTGTATCCGGCCCTGGGCCTTGGGCTTTCTTTGCTTCGCCGGCTTTGCTGGCATCCCTTGGTCTTGCGCTCGGGCCCTGGCCTGGGAAGAAAGGCTTGCCCCCTG